CAGCACCACAAAGTTCTCCCAGCAGTCCTCCTGCTCGCGCTTCTCCTCGTAGACGCGTAGGAAAAGGGCTAGCTTCTCCGCCGAGCGGAAGCTCACGTCGAACTCGCGGCTGCCGGGGATCTGGATGACCGCGTAGATGTCGCTCGGGTCCATGCCTATGGAGCGCAGGATGAGCGCGCCGACCACGAAGTCCCGGGTCGGGCAGGCGCCCTCGTCTCCCTGGAAACAGATGCGCACGAGAAAGCGGCCCTTGCCCGGGCCAGCTGCTGGGCTCACCACCACCGCCTGATCGTCCTGGGGTTGCTGCTCAGCCTCGTCCTCCGCCGCACCGGGCCTGGCCGGGGTCGCCATGGCCGCCGTTTCGGCCTTCTTCCTCCTACCGGCCTCCGTTGCACCCTTCTTCTTGCGGGGGTCCGCCGTCTCGCCCGCCGGGTCTCTCCGGCGGCCCTTCGGGTCTCCGTGGCCTGCCGGGGGGAAGTCGCCGAGGCCCGGCGCCGCTAGGCCCGCGGGGGCGCCAAGCCCACCGCCCGCGCCGCTACTTTCCTCTTCCCGCCGGGGCGGTCGTGAGTCGCGGAACTCACCCTTCTTCTCGGCTAGGTTCTTCACCACCTGGGCCCAGCCCAACTTCTCGCGGCTGCCCTCGGCCTCCTCGGCCCGGGCTGCTGGGCGCGTGGGGGGCAGGAGTTGCTGCCGCCCCCTCTTCCTCTCTTCCTCCGCGCCGCCGCCGGTGGCCATTTTACCTCCTTCCCAGCATCCTCCACTCGCTCCCGCAGCCAAAGGGAGCCCATCGCGCGCGCCCGCGGCCCGTCGGGGCTGTGAGGGTTTCGGGTTTTTTTTTTTTTTCTTTTTTTTTCTTTTTGAAATTTGACGCTTCTCTGCCCCGCCCCGCCAAAATATATTTACACGCGGCGCAAGGCGGCCAGCGCTTGCCGGGAGCCCCCTGGTAACGGCTGAGCCTAGTTTCCAACAGGGCGTACTCCTCGGCACCACCGCGGGATGGGGAACTTGGAGCGCGTCCCTGTCCCTTGCGAGGGTTTGGCAGCCGTGGGCCTCGCTCTCGAGGATTTGGTATTTCGCAAGCGGTCCTTGATGATTCATTCAAGCAGCATTACTAACGGCCCTCAGCCTAAAGGCGGGACAGAGTTGAGAAAGATCTTGCCCATTTTTTCTATTTATACCTTTTCTATTAAAAACAAAAGCAAAACGTTGCTCTCTCACAATGTGTTATTTTCCCGACGTTGGATTATGAACATTTTCAAACAACGTTGAAAGAATTGTACAGTAAACATTTTATCTTTAACTTTTTAATATTTTAACTTCCTATCGTTAAAATTTTACTATACTTTATCACACCTATCATCCATACCTATATCCATCAGTCCTTATTTTTTTTGCTACATTTCCAAGTAAGTCATATTGCATTCTTTTAAAAAAGATCTCCAGCAGACTTATGATGACAATTATATCGAGCACTTAAGTGCCCTGTGCTGCTCTAAGCACACTGCAAGCTTTATTACATGAAATCTTCCCAAAACAATGCTGTAATAACACATTTTACAGGACGCAGGGGCTTGGAGACGGGCTTAAATCATTTTGCCAAATGACAGAGTTAATAGATGGCCCCACACGTAGATGGCTTATATTTATTAAACCGCTTTGCTTCTCACATTGTGGATCAGGACTATTTGCATCAGACTCTCCAGGAAACATATTAACACAGATTCCTGGTTCAAGTTAGCACTGGACAGGATCTCTTTCTCATCTGTCTCAATTAGTGCTTTGGAAACATTGATAAAATTTGGGTGGCTGAGAGGATGGGTTTAATATCCTTTGTCAGCTTTGTTTTTTTTTTTTTTCATCATATCTGTGTGCATTTCAGTGACCTTTCTGATTTTAGTGAAAGAAAAGGTGGATTGTGGAGTCAGGGAGACCCTAGCTTGAATCTGAGGGCTTCAAATCTCATTCTTGTTACATGGGGCCAGTGACCTCAGTTTTCATGCCCTCAATTCACTCACCCATAACAGAGGAATTTAACATCTTTCAGAGGACTAATGTAAGGTTTCAAGGATATAAGCTGTGTTAAAGAGCTTGGTCCACAGTGGGTTTTCTAGAGAGGTTACAGGATTGGGTAATTTAATGGCTTAATGCTATAATAACAGATTCCCTTCACTTTCCTCATTCCATTCAGTTAACTCTGCTCACAGTTCCACAATTCTGGGAATGCCACACAGATAGGGACAGTATCTAGTTGCAGATGAGGGAATGTTTTTCTGTAATTAAAAAAAAATTTTAAGTATGATAAAAATCTTTCTCAAAAGCCTCTGAATAGACTTCTCACCCTGTCTCCTTGGCCAGACTTATCACATGCGTATGACTAAACCTAAATAGCTAGCAAGGGAAATGGGCCCACCAAGTCTAGCTCAGACTAATCATGATTACTAGAGCTGGAACTAGGACTGGGGCTGGGGCCTGCCTCCTCTAAAGCCAATGCATACCTAGCAAGATCAGGTGTTGTTAGCTGGGGTGAAAGGGAGAAATGGCTGTTGGGTAGGCAACACCTGGGTCTGCCACATACCTCCCATTTTTTAACTGTTTCCTGATACAGAGCTTCCCAGCTGCAGAGCCATGGTACAGTGGGCTCTGCAAATGAGAGTGCCCAATATGGTGATTCCCTCAGCTTTAGGGGCAGCCAAGAGGGTCCTTCCTGTATGGCCAGAATACCTACACTGATTGCTTTTACTACAGCAGTCTCTTATGTTTACCAGTCTCTTATGTGTGCAAAGCAATTTAAAACATTTTTCTATGATTTTTAAGAGGGGAAGAAGGTTGAGAGCCCTGGCTTAGTATCTTCTAATAACATTCTCATATTGAAGTTTAGGTGATTTCAAATTATTTGCTCTTCTCCAAATTATTTTTAAAATGTAATGCACTTTTAAATTTATGCTCTATTTAGCAAAATGGAGCGTGGAGAGAGAACTGGAGTGGGGCAAGAGTGGAAGCTGATACTGTAGTCCAGGTGTGAGAAGAAAGCAGGTATGTATATGTATGAGTGCTGGTAGTAATATCACCCAAATATACTCAGAAGGTATTACTGACAGATTTGGATGAGTCAAAATTCCAGGAAGAGAGTTGTCATTTTGAGTTGGGGGAAACGTTTCTGGGGGAAAGGTTGCACATTAGTTACCTATTAGGCACCCAAGTGGAGATTCTGAGTGGGCAGTCGGATATATGTGGCTGGAATTCAGGGGAGAGGCTGAAGATGTAAATCTCGGAAGCATCTGGGTAGAGATGGCATCCAAAGTCACAAGAAACTGGAAGGGAGCACGTGGCATGTAAGTGGATAGAGAAAAAGAGAGGGCCGGATCTGAGTCACGGGGCAATCTAATAATAAAGAGAAGAGGAACCAGCAAAGGAGAAGAGAAGATAGGAAGCAACTCAAGAGAGTGGTTTCTTGGATGCCAAATTTAAAAAGTGTATCAAGGAGGGAGCGATCCATTGTGTCAAATGCTGCAGATAGACCAAGTAAGATGAGAACTGAGACGTGACCGTGAAGTTTAGCAAAGCGGAGGTCACTGGTGGCATTGACAAGGATAATTTCAGTGGAGAGGTGGAGAGTGAAAGCCTAACTAAAGAGGCGGAAAGGAATGGGAAAGAGGAGGCAAACCTCCCTAGGAGTTTAGCTGTGAAGTGAAGCAGAAATGGGAGGGTAGTTGGATGAGACGTGGTCACTTTTATTTTTTTAAATAGAAGAGATTAAAATATATTGGTATGCCGATGGGAATAATACAGAGGAGAGGGTGATGGAGAATAAAGGGAGAATTGCTAGGGCAATATTTTAGAGCAGATGAGAGGAGAAAATTCAGTGTGCTATTGTAAGACTCGGTCTCAGTAGGCAGTTTATACCTAGTTCTAAGAAGGAGGCAAGTTGGTGGGTAAAGGAAGTGATGTGAATTCGTGATCCTCAGGACTTTCTTAGTGAAATAGGAAGCAGAATCATTAGCTAGGAGTAAGGATGGGAAGGAAGTGATGGAGCTTTGAAGAGAGGAGAAATAGGACATAATTTTTTAGGGTAGTGGGCGGGGCCAGCTGAGGGGTATTTAAAACCAAGTTGAGACGTGGAGAGAGCTACATTTTGCCCTGCGAGATTAGTCCCTCTAGGCGCTCGGTAGTCTGAGTTCGTTTCCTTGGAGACGAAGACCGGGAGGAAGCGTCCGGTCTCGCTGGGAGGTTTGAGTGGCCTGTTACCGCGCAGTCCACTCCGAGACAAGGAAGTTGTAGAAGCCAAATAAATAAGCTTCCCAAGAGACCAGGTTCCCACAGGCTCACAACTCTTCATACATTTTCTCCAATGGCGCGCGTCTTTCCGAAGTAGGTCAAAGAAGCATCGCAGGGTGGTGGAGTGCGCATGCGTACTCTCCCTCGCCCGTGCCAGGAAGTTTTCCCGCGGTCTCTCGACCCCGCCCTCTCCTCTTCTTCGCGGTCTCTGAGTTCTGGCTTGGCTTGTGTTCCTAGTAAGCTGTGGTTTTGGGTTCGAGACCCCACGCCCCCTTCACGTTTGCTAATTGCAGCCCCATGGGTTGGGAATGATGAAAGTTCTTTACCGCCCCATCCACTTTCCAGATCCAGCCTCTCTGATAGTCGCTCCACAATCCACAAATTCCAGTCTCTGGTGAGTACCGAAGGGCTAGGGCGGGGATGGGGTGCTCCCTGACCCTGAGACTGCAGCCCTCCTGCCTTCCACCCCCGTGGCGGTGACTGTCCTGGGTGATAGAATCCAGAGACCTGAATTCCAGGCCCTGCTGTGTCACACATTTGCCGGGGGACCCGGGGCATGCCTCTGAATCTCAGTTTTCTCACCACTTTATCAGAATGTAAGGGTATATGATGCTGCTCTTTTATTTATCTCTGATTGTTACTCTGGTTCCCTGTGAGTCTTTTCCTTGCCTTCTGTTTCTCACAGTTCTTAGCACCTCACGGCCTGAATGTGCTTAGTTAATATTGGCAGGCTGATTAAAAAAAGTGATAGCCAACATTTGTGGAGCACTTACCACATGCTTTACAAATATCATCTCTCAGAATCCTTTCACCAACCTATGGAGGTAGGTTTTGTAATCAGATCCAGTTTACAGATGAGAAAATTGAGGCTCAAAGAGGTAAAGCCACTTGCTCAAGGTCACAGATATCTATCTGTAAGGGGTGAAGCTGAGATTTGAACCCACCAAGCTATGTGACTGGTTGTGTTATGTGTGGTAGGGTTATGTTCCAGAGCAGCGGTCCAAGCAGAAAATCAGGCCATCTACTCTGCTTCCAGTCCTACAAACCAGTGGCCTTAAGAAAAGCAAAGCGAAGACTTTGACTAGCATCCAGCCAGGTAGGTAGAGGTATTTAGGGGCTGGCGTGGGGGTTGGAAACAGGACAGAGTACATGCTCTTGGCCTTTGGTGACACCATTTATATTAGGGTAGGCTAACTGCTGTAATAAACAATCGCCAGATTTCAAGTATTAATACAGAAGCTTATTTTTCATTTATGTCAAAGTGGCCTGGGCAGGGTGGAGTAGGAATTAATCTTTCTATATGGTCATTCAGAGATCCAGGCTCCTTCAACCTGTGGCTCTGATGTTTTATTAAAGCCTTGAAATCCTTTGCTGGATACTTCTGCATCCAGGCAGCAGAGAGAGAGCAAGAATATGGATGATTTTGTGGGCAGGTTTTTTCAGAGCCCAGATTTGAAGTGACACATATCACTCCCACTCATATTCAGTCATTGACCATCACTAACTACAGGGAAGATGGGAAATGTGGCCCAGCAGTATGTGTCCAAGAGGAAAAGAAAACAGGGTTTGGTAGACTAAAGATAATCACTACCACGTCATTGTCATGCTTTCCAGGGGAGTTCTGAGGCCTTGGCTCAGGCACACATGGCTTCTGCCATTTACTCTTTTGGGAAAGGCATTCATTCTTCTGAACTTTAGTTTTCTCATTTGTAAAATGAGGATACTAATACTTACCTGATAGGATTGTTGTGAGAATTAAATGAGAAGTTTTCTTTTAATGCATTGTTGCTCAACCTTATCAGACTCACACTCCTTTTAATAACATATTTTGGGATATTCCTTTAGTATCCTGAGATAAACTTCATGGATAATATAACCTACCTACAAATATAATAAAAATTAATATAATGCCCTAACTATAAAATAAAGGAAAAGGAAAATTATTTGTTGTTAAATAACAAATTTTAGTATGTAAGTGCTCAGGATGGACACTGCTAGAAGCCATGATAGTCATAAACGTACTCATAGATGTAGAGTCCTGGTGAATATAACAGTTGCAAATACAGACTGACATATGATGGGATACTGAGACTCGAGTACTAGGGGGATTTTTTCATTGTGGCCATGACTTCCAGAGTGGTGTCATTTCTTGGTAGAGTTCTAAACAAAATAAAGTGCAATCTTTCTCTTGATTGTAGCTGCTTTCTGGGAAAATTCAGCATTACAGTAAAGCCTTGAAAACTGTTTTTTATGTTTATATGTGAAACTGAGTCAGGTTCTGGGATTGGTTCATTGTAAATAAAGTTTTCACCTATATCTGGTAGGACTTTGGAAAATCAAGCAGGACATAGGAGCATTCTGTGTTCTTTGGGGTTGTCCTGTTCTTGGGGATGTCTAAGATCTCTGTCCCCTCACTCACAGATGCCATTTGGGACCCCCAATATTTGTGAGAACTCTGTCAATGTATCTCAACACCGTTGTTGAAAGTCATTGATGTGAAGTGATGAGCACAAGCCCTGGTGGTAGTGACAGAATTTTTGTCTTTGACTCTAGACCTTATTCAAACAGCATGTACAAGGAAACTCTTGCCCTTTTATTTCACTGGGGAGCAGTGAGGTATGTAACAGACACAACCACAACAAGCACAAGAGCAATTAACATACGTCAAGCACTTATTTTGTGCCAGATGCTGTCCTCAGCACTTTACATGTATCACTTCATTTAATCTTCCCAGCAACCCTGTGAGGTAGGTGCTGTTATTATTACCTCCTCTTACAGATGAGGCACAGACAGGTATAACTTCTAAGGTCACACAGTATAACCAGGCTGTTAAATTCAACAGTTTGGCTCCAGGACCCACAGTCTTAACCACATATAGGTGGAGAGAGTGTGAGCACTGGAGAAATGTAGACCTGAGTTGGTGCTCTAGTTTCCCTTCTTGCTAGCAATTCCATCTTAGTTACCTATCACAGCCTCAGTTTCCTTCCCTGTGGAAATGGGCACAAAGATTCTTACTTTATGCAAGTGAAATAATCTATGTAAATAATAATGATGATAATAGCTATCATTCACTGAATACTTATTTCGTGTCAAGCTCTGTTTTAGAAGATTTATTCATTCATTCATTTATTCATATATTTATTCAGCAGCAGTCTTTCTGAGCCCCCAAGCGCCTGGCATTGGGCTGAGTGTTCTTGATAGTGAAAGAGACAAATGGATTTCTAGCCACATCGAGTTCATGATCCCAACCTCAAACATTTAACTACTAAAACTTTAAATACTCTTGAGATAGAAGGAAGTTATCATCTCATTCATTCCTTACAAAGACTTGGGAGATGCTCTCTCCACCATTTTACAGGTGAGGAAACTGAAGCTTAGGTTGGTAACATGTCTTGTGCAAAGTCATGTTCTTGAGGGCAGCTTTTGTGTACTAATCAGCTGATTCTACTAAGATAGAATAGCTCTATACCTTCCTAGTCCTCCTTTTTAGAACTAGAAAACCCCTGGACATAACACAATAGACAAACAGAAAGAGTCCAAAAACTGGAAAGAAGAAGGTAGGCTGCCAGAGTGCTGAGCATACATAATCATTTGGCCTTCCTGCTATATATCTATCAACAGTACTACCTTAAAGGTTAAATAGAATCCAGAGTAATATCTAAAACATCCAGATACAATTGAAATCACTTGTCATACCAAGAATAAGGAAAATCACAATATGAATGAGAAAAGACAGATATTAACACCAAAATGAATCAGATAGAATTATTTGACTGTCCCTGTTTACAGATGACATGACTGTCTATGTACAAAATCTTAAGGAATCTACTAAATCTAAAAAAGCTAGAATTATTAAGCGAGTACATCAAGGTTGCAGGATGCAAGTACCATGCACAAAAATCAATCACATTTCTATGTACTAATGAGTATGTGGAAACCAAAATTAAAAAAAAGACAGTACATTTACAGTCACTCCAAAGAAAATGAAATATTTAGGTATAAAGTGAACAAAACATGCAGGATTTGTATGCTGAAAATTACTCAATGCCGATGAAAGAAATCAAAGAAGACCTAAATTAATGTAGAGACATACTGTGTACATGGAATAGAAGACTAAACATGGTAAAGTTGTCAGTTATCCCCAGATTGATCTATATGTTATGTAATTCCTATCAAAATCTCAGCAATGTTTTGTAGACATAGACAGGTTTACTTTAAAATTTATATAGAAAAGCAAGGCCATAGAATAAATAAGACAGTTTTGTAAAAGAAGAATAATGAGAAAAATCACTTTATGTGATATTAAGACCTGCTGTTTTGCCATAACAATCAAGACAACATAGTGTTGGCAGGAAGATATATACATAGATCAATGGAACAGAATAGAGAAACCAGAAATAGAGCCACACAAATATGCCTGATTTTTGACAAAGGTACAAAAGCGATTCAGTGGAGGAAAGAAAGCCTTTTCCACAGATGGTGCTGGAGCAATTGGACATCCATAGGCAAAAAAATGAACCTTGATTTAAGCCTCACAACTTACACAAAAATTAACTCAAAATGTAAATGTAGAATGTAATCATAATTACATGTAAAATGTAAAATGTAAAAGTGTGAAACTTTCAGAAAACATAAGGGAGAAAAATCTTTGGGACCAAGTGAAGGGTTCTTAAACTTTACTCAGACAGCTTGATCCATAAAAAAAAAAATGAAATAAATGGATAAGTTTCACTTCATCAAAATTAAAAACTTTTGTTCTGTAAAAGACTGTTAAGAGGATGAAAAGACAAGCTACAGACTTGGAGAAAATATTTGCAAACCACATATCTGACAAATGACTGCTATGTAGAATATATCAAGAAATCTCAAAACAGAAAAATTATTCAATTAGAAAATGGGCAAAAGACATGAAGAGGCATTTCACCAGAGAGGATATATAGATGGTAAATAAGCACATGAAAAGATCTTCAACATCATTATCCATTAGGAATATGCGAATTAAACTCCAATGAGATGTCACTGCACATCTCTCAGAATGGCTAACGTGAAAAATAGTGATAACACCAAATGCTGGCAAAGAGAAGAAGTTGGATCATGCATACATTGCTAGTGGGAATGTGAAATGGAGCAGCCCCTAATGAAACTAAACATGTAATTACCATAATGATCAACAATTGCAGGCTTGGGCATTTATTCCAGAGAAATGAAAACTTACGGTCACACAAAGACTAGTACATGAATGTTTCATAGCACGCTTATTCATAATGCCTCCAAACTGAAAACAGTCCAAATGTCCTTCAGTGGGTGAATGGTTAAACAATCTATGGTACAGACACACCATGGAATACTATTCAGTAATAAAAAGGAAAGAACTATTGCTATCCTCAATAACTTGGATGAATCTCCAGAGAATTTTGCCGAGGGAAAAAAGTCAATCCCAGAAGTTATATGCTATATAATTCCATATATATGACATTCTGGAAATGACAAAATTATAGATGGAGAACAGATTAGTGGTTGCTAGGCTTAGAGACCGAGGTGAAGGAGGATGGTAAGGGGAGAGAAGTAGGTGTGGCTACAAAGGCCATGAGCTATCCTTGCGATGGAACTGTTCTGTATCTTGCCCATCTTAACCTTGCCCGTCAATATCCTGGTTGCGATATTGTACTTAGTTTTGCAAGCTGCTACCATTGGGAAAAACTGAGTTAAGGGTATATAGGATTTGTCTTTATTGTTTCTTAAAACTGCATGTAATCTGATCTCAAAATAAAAAGTTTAATTAAAAAAAGAAAAAGATAAATCAGGGCTATTACCACTAACGAAAAGATATACCCCTTATTAAGGCTACAGATCTTCTTAAGTACTTAAGTTCAACTTACAAATCTTATTGTTTTTATGAACACTTGTAATGTGTTTTGGAACTTGGTTAAAACACTTGTAATGTGTTTTGGAACTTGGTTAATTAAATTCTTCTAAACCTTTTAAGCCACATTTAAATTTTTCATTTTTATTTTCATTTTCAAATAGTTTACTTGTCTGATTAACAAAAACCATTGGATATTTACATAATTCTTGTACATCTATACTGTTTTTTCCTATACATATCTATGATAAAGTTTAATTTATAATTTAGGCACAGTAAGAGATGAACAACAATAACTGATAATAAACTAGAACAATTATAACAATATACTGTAATAAAAGTTATATGAATATGGTCTCTCTCACTGTCGTAATATCTTGTATCATACTCACCCTTCTTGTGACGATGTGCGATGATACAATGCCTATGTGATGAGATGAAGCGAGGTGAATGATGTAGGCGCTGTGACATAGCATTAGGCTGCTGTTGACCTGATGATACGTCAAGAAGAGGATCATTGAGCCATGATGATGACGTCTTCACCCACAAATTTAATGTCTTTTCCATCTTAACTAAACACTTATCACGCACTGTGGCTGCATCTTTTGCAATTTGAGGTGTGAAGCACTGTGGCTGCATCTTTTGCAATTTGAGGTGTGACAGCAAAACTAGCACAGATTTCCTTTTCCTTCTTCATAATTTCACAGATAGAAGATTCATTCTTACCATAGATCTTTGTTATCTTAGTGCACAATATTTTTTTCTTGTTAATGTTGAGAACGTTCAGCTTTTCACTTAAAGGAAGCACTCTATGGCTTCTCTTTGGTGTATCCGAATTGCCAACATCACTACTCTTGTGCTTTGGGGCCATTGTTAAGTAAAATAAGGGTGACTTGAACACAAGCACTGCAGTACAGAGACAGTGGATCTGATAACCCTGATGGCTGCTAAGTGACTAATGGGTGTGGAGCATATATAGTGGGAAGATGCTGGAGAGTTGATTCATGTCTGCCAGGGATGGAGCAGAACAGTGTAGTACGATGTTTTATCATACTACGCAGAACAGTGCGCAGTTTAAAACTTATGAGTTGTTTATTTCTGGAATTTTCCATTATATATTTTCAGACTGCGGTTGACCATGGGTAACTGAAATTGCAGAAAGTGAAACTGTGGTTAAGTGGGAGTGGTGGTGGCGGCTGCTGTACAGATAATTCATAACTTTAACATAAAATTATTTTAATTTACTTCATTACTTTAATACTTAATGTGAAATTTTCTAGGATTAAGAATAATGATCCATAAAGAATTATTTTTCTGAAATGAACCGGGTTGTACCTGGAGCAGGGATTTTGGTAGGGGCTGAGTGCAGCTGCAGCATTTGTGGCAATCTGGGTGACTCACTTCATGCCCGTGCAGGACACGCTGAGAAGAAGCAAAGATTCTAAGAACATGCCCTCCAAATGCCTTATTCTGATCTGAATTATTTTCCTATACTGCTTATGTGGCAGGACTACAGCTTTTATAGGTATTTCAGAGACAACCAGTTAGAGTTTTGCATAGCTCCTGTGCCTTTGCCTGGTGGCGTGATCCTGATCCCAATCCTCAGGTCATTAGTAATAACTGACAACTAGTAGTGTATACCTAGTACTGTGTATTCAGCACTGAATATATGTTGGGTGCTAGTCTAAATACTTTAAAGTATAGTACATTTTTATTTAATCTTCACAACGACCCTATGAGGTAGACATGATGATTATTCCTATTTTACAGATGAGGAATCTGAGGGACAGAGAGGTCATGTGACCTGCCCAAGGTCCCACAGCTGGTAGAAGGCAGAGCCCGGATTCAAACCCAGGCTGTCTGGATCATTAGTTCTTGCTCTTACCCCTTCTCTCTTTGAGCTTGCCATAGGCCAGGTTGGTGGGAGAGATTGGGGGTGCTTGGCTGTTTCCTATAGCTATCGCTCTTCTTTCCCCTGTCCGTATCCATAGTCGCTTTGGTATGTAGAAATCTGGGCTTCTCTGTCCCTTATATCAAGGCACAGAGAGGGGCCCGGGAGCTTAATGATGGATGTGAGTTTCATCCTTTGTCTCACTGTCACATATTATAAGTCTGTGAGGAGGTGGGGCTGGGGCCTGGGCCATCTCTCATGGATAGTGCATTCCCTGAGACTTGACCCCAAGCCTGACTATATCCTCACTCTCTCTGCCCTGTTTTATGCTCTAGAGTATTCCAAGCCCACCATGTTGATGACAAGTCAGCTGAAGAATCTACAAGAACTGCACAGAGCGAAGTCAGACTCTGGGAAGATGCAGGCCAATATCCGGCTAATGAGGGTATGAGGAGCAGCCTCCCATAGGCACTGGGGCCCAGGGAGGAGGCAGGGGGATGGTGGTAGCAAACATGCACCGAGCACTTTGTGGGTGTCTGATTTGACTCATTTCCTCCTCACAGCAACCCCATGGGCATGCTTATCATCATCACTTTTCTACAGATGGGAAAACTGAGGTGCAGGGAGGTAAATGACTTACACCAGGTCACAGCTAGAAAGTGGCAGTACCAGGGGTCAGAGCCAGTTCAGCAAAGTGCCGTTGTGTTTTAAGACTCAGGAAAACAATCAGAATCCTTTTTTATTTCACTGCATTAGGAACACAGTCTAGTGGTTTGTTCATTTTAAAATTTCCAGTAAATTCCTTTCATGGAATACAGTGCACCTTGAAGTAAGGCTTAGAAGCTTATATTAATTTTTTCACATCAACTGATACAATTTTGGATAATTAATTTTCTCCATTGTTTTTGATGGCCTCAAAGTATTTGAAATGACTAAAAGAAGAGAGAGCTTTCATGTCTATAGCAGAAAGTAAAATCCTAAATACTATAGGAGAATTCTTAACTTCTCCAAGAAAGTATTTAATAGCTCAGTGAATAATGACTGCTATGTAAAGAAATAGGGGAAAATGTATTTACCTTGAAACCTTATTTTCCCTTTAACCTTTAGTTTTGCAAAATGGTTTAGAGGCAGCCCAGAATTCTTAAAGGAGGAACTCACATTTCTGTTATTTTTATACTGACTTTAGAAGGATTCATGAGTTTTTGTTTGATATAAAACATGAACTTGGATAATTTGGCTCTAAAACCTGTGCTCCTAACCAGTTCCTAATACTGTCTCACAATCATTCATTCATTTAGTCAGCAGATGTATTGAGCACCTACTATGTACCAGGCCCTATTCTAGAGTGGGGATTCATCAGTGGTGTGGTCTCTGACATTAGGTAACTCATATTTTACCAGGGGAGACAGACAATAAACAAGTCAAATAAATTTATAATATGTGTGGTGATGCTAAGAACTATAAAGAGGCATAAAGATAAATTTAGGGGGCTAGAAAAGCACGGAGGAGGGAGTTGCTGTGACTGTTTTAAACAGGTGATCAGGGAAGGCTGCTAAGGTGACATCTGAGGGAGCAATCTTCCAGGCAGAAACCACAAATACAAAGTCCCTGAGGTTGGTATGAGATTGATGTGAGATCTGTGTGGCTAGAACAGGTCATGAAGAAAGACGGTGGGGTGTGGGGGGTAAGGGGAGTAGCTTGTATACGGCCTTGCAGTCATGATTAGGCTTTGTGTGTTTATACTGAGTAAGACAGAAAGACCCCAGAGGATTCTGAGTAGAGCAGGGACGTGATCTGACTTAGGTTTTTGCAGGAGTCCTTGGGCTGCTGCTGTGTGGAGAATGGACTTGTAGAGACAAGGGGCAAACAGAGGAAGGGAGCAGAAACTACCCAGTTGGTTGGTTCTGGAGATGGAGAAGGATCTTGACTCTGCCTCTCAGCCTCAGGACAATTATTTATTCAATCCGCAACTCTTGAGAGAGTGCCTACCATGTTCCAGGCACCAGGCTGGGTGTTGGGGACACAGCTATAAACATAGAACTCAGCATATGTGCTGTTATAGAGCTCACACATTATTGGGGAGACACATAATAAATGCATTTAAAAAGTCCAAAGACTAGGTACTAATCAGCTTATTCAACCCATGCTTATGAGCTCTAGGCACTGACCTGTGTGCTGGAGATAGGGCTGTGACAAAGCAACCAATGCCCCTGCTCTCCTGGCTGTGACTTTCTAGTGGGGGAGACAGACAGGAAACAAGATAATAAGAAAAATATCTGTTATGTTGGAGGGTGATAAGTCCTAGGAGGAAACAAATTGAAAAAAGAGGAGACATAATTACAGTTATGTAACTGCAGATTGGGGTAAGGATCAGGAGGGAAGTGAGGTCTAGTGTTTCTACACTACATCTAGTAGTCGGGGAAGATCCATTTCTAGAGAAGCAGTTATTAATCCTAGAGTTTAACAGAATCACCAGGAGTGGGGTGTGGTAACAGTATGGATTCCTGGCGCCAGCCCCACCAGTGCTAGCTCAGTGGGCCTGAGACTGGGAGACTGGCATTTTTCACAAGAACTTCTGGTCCCTGTGGGCCATATTTGGAAATATTTTGTTCTGGAGATGTGGAGGCAAGATAGTGGAGCAGCTGGGAATCCAGACTTCAAGAATAACAGCTCTGCTATGTATGACCCTGGGTAAGTTACTGAATCTTTCTGACCCTCGGTTTCTGCTTCTATGAAGTGGGGGTAATAATAGTGCCAAGTGAGCTAGTGCATGTGACATTCTTAGTACAGTTTCAGCATGTAGTAAGGACTCCATAGATTTGCCCTATTACTCTTATTATTATGTGAGGAATATGGGAGCTGAGGGCTAGTATGGGACAGGGGCTCTAGCAGAGGACAGGAATGAGGAAAAAAGAATAAAGGGGAGAGCGCATCGGTGTGGCAGAGGTGGAGGGTTAGAGCCAGTGAGAGTAGTGTCAGCTCCTGTTCACTGAGTGCACACTGAGCATACGAGGCCTTGCCACTAAGTGGCTTGATTGCGAATATGATCACATATATTTTTACAGCAGGTCTCTGAAGCAGATATGAGTTTCCTCACCTTTAGAATGAGTATAGTAAGGCTCTGGGAACCTAACTTGTCTAGTTTCCCTTAGGTGGTAAGTGGCGGAGGTGGGATTTGACCTAACATCCACATCTTAATCACTTTGAGGTTCAGTCACACCTTGCAGCTTTAAGCCCTCTCAGTTCCTTGTCTTAGCATGATGGAAAGACAGACAGTGAGAGTCAGAAGTCTGCCTTTCCAGTTCCGGTACTACCACTTCCTGGCTGTGTGACTTTGGGCAAGTCACTTATTAACCTGTCTGAGCTTTCAACCAACAGTAAAATAGTAAACATAGGACTGTTGGAGGATGAACTGATACTGTGTGCCACGTGCTGAGTGAGACACAGTGCCCAGCACATAGTAGGCCCTCGCCAATTGTTATTGTTGTTGTTATTGTAGATTTTGTGTCCCTGCCTATGGGTGACTTTAGGCAAGTCACTTAATCCCTTGGACCATCATTGTTTCCACAGGAATGTTGTATGAAATGAGAGATTACTCACTCAGCTCAGCTGCCTTATGAGAAGTGGTAGCAGTTATCACCCACTCTGTCTCCCCAGACATGGCCCATCACCTCTGCCACCTTCTTACCTACCTGTGGCGTTTTCTATTATAATTATTTTTACTACTATATTTCATTGATTCTAGGAAGGCATTGATAATTGCACCTTTATTTTATTTACTCATTAATAAAATGTTTGTCAGATTGCGACATGCGCCAACTGTAAGATGCATCTCCACCTCAGAAACGTAAAAGTATGGGAAAATGGGCATTTTAGGATGGATGAAGTAGTCGGAGGTGCCCTGATACAGACAATGGGGAACCGCCTCCCGGCACAGTTGCATTTACCAGTCAAGGCCGCAAGGGGGCGAATGTCCGGCTGGAGGGAAGTGGTCCCCTAGCTGCCCGTGGCTCCAGCCGGCCTGGTGCAGCACCGCCCACCATTCTCTTCCCTCCGTCTGCAGAAGATGCTCAGGAACCGGCAGACTTCACTCCAGGAGCTCCGAAACCACGAGGACTTCATCACCAAACTAAATCAGAAGCTGATCAAGAATATCCAGGACATGGAGGACAGCTCAACCCTGAAAGTGCGGGCGCTGCTGCAGCAGCAGGACATCCTTGGGGTGAGGCTCTACTGTGGCCCCGAAGCCCCGCCTCTGCGTCTCGGTCCTGCCCACTGCGCCACCCTCCTGACACTGGCGCGCTCTCCTGGCCCCTCCCTGCGGGTTGCAGAGCAGCTGCTTCCATCTGGAAGATACATCTTACATACTTTGCGCCACCTGCCTGGGCTTTGTAATCAGACTAAGATGGGGAGCTCATCCCAATGCCTACATTTATTAGCTAGGAGACTTTGAGTTAACTTTGCGCTCTGTAAATAAAGCAGGGCTCAATAGCACTCAACTCCCAAGGGGAGTTATACTTGGCACACAATAGGTGTGCAAGGGAAAGTAGCTGGTACTACCACCACCAGGAGCAAATACTTATACAATGTAACACTAGTGATTTGTTTATACTCATAATCCTTATAACAGAGTTGTGAGGTGGATATTGTTATTATCTTTATTTTATATGTGAAGAAATGGAAACACAGAGAGGCTAGGTGACTTGCTCAAGGTCGCTCTCAGGGTTACCCGTCTAGCATCTGAGATTTGGGCCCAGGCAGTCTGACACCAGGATCTGTGTTCTTTCCACCAGGCTGTGATTACCACCCTCATCCAGTGGTGGTACTTCCAGTCTGTGGGTGAAGAGTGACTTTGCGGAGAGCCCAGGGAATGTCCTTGGCCTTCTCTAGGAGAGGCTGTGGTGAGAGGCTAAAAGTTCACAAGGTGACCAGGAGTTTGGGCTTGAGAAGAGTCAGAGAAAATGATTTAATGGAGAAGTGATTCCCCTCTGACTGCAGTCTGCCCAGAAAGAAGAGGGACTGAGCTCACCAGAGCCTGTGAGATGAAAATAAAATTAAGTCTTGGAGACTCAACTGATCTGCTCGGGCTGCCATAACAAAATACCACAGACCAGGTAGCTTGAATGACCAAAATTTATTTTGTCAGTTCTGAAGACTGGCGAGACCAGGCGGGTGAGACCTCTCTCCTTGGGATGCAGACGGCTGTCTTCTTCTTGTGCTTTCACATGGCCTTTCCTCTGTGCTCACATTGAGTGAGAGAGATCTCTAGCATCTCTTCAGCTTATAAGGACACTAGTCCTGTAGGATTAGGACCCCACCCTTTTGACCTCATTTATCATTAATTACCTTCCTAAAGGCCTTATCTCCAAATACAGTCACATTAGGCATTGGGGCTTCAATATATGAATTTGGGGGAGGGGACACAATTCAGTCTATAACAGAGACCAAGGACATACAGAGTTATTCAGTCCAAGGAAACGTAATAGAATATTCTCCATACTTAGACAAAGTCTTTCTCTGATTTTCTGTCTTTGGTTCATTAATACATTTTTTGTTCATCCTGAGTGCTTCCTGTGGGCCCTTGGGAAAGAGCACTTTGAAAGCTATGCTATTTGTGTGTGATGGGGATAAGGGACTTGGAGTTGGGGGGTGGGGTGCTCTAATTCAGACATGGAGGGACAGGAAGGCTTCCCAGAGAAAGTGATTCGATTCTTGAAACCTGCAGACATAGGTGTTAACTGGTAGAGAGCAGATGGTTGTTCCGGCAGAGAAATGAGGTGAGGAGCATAGCTGGCTCAAGGAACCACATGTTGCTAGACAATAAGGTATGAGGAATGGATCAGAGAGAGATGAGATTGGCCCCAGCCAGATGGAGGAGGGCCTTGTCAGCCAAGGTAAGGAGTTTGGACCTTATTTATGCGGCACAGGGGAGCCATTGGAAGGTTTTAAATAGGAGAGGGACAGGGTTGCTCTAATTTTAAAGAAAGATCATTCTGACTGCTGTGTGGAGAATTGATCAAAGGGGAGGACCAGTTAAGAGTAGCTGTTATATTTCTGGCGATGAAAACAACTAAAATAAGATAGTGGCAGTGGGGATGGAGAGAAGAATGTGGCCATGAGGGCTATTTTGGGGGTAAAATCCATACCACTTGGTGACATTTTAGGTGAGAGAGGGGAGTAAGGACTGATGCCTGGGTTTGGGCCTGTGTGCCTGGGTGTGTGGTAGGGCCACTGGCTGAGGTGGTGGTAGGAAGTGGGAACATATGGAGAGGGTAGGGGCAGTAAGTGACTACTTTCCAGCCTCTGGTCAGGTTCCTGGGCCTGGGGGTGGGGTTG